GTGGTTACCTCGGTGAGGGCGACGCTTGTAATGTCCCGAGCGAAACTCAGTGTGACCACATTGGACACTTCCCTGTAGTCAAGGTTTTCATTAGTATTGTTGTAGACTCGGGGGAAGAGGGAAACATGGAATCTAATTAGTGAGAATACAAGGGATAAACGAAAATAATGGGACAGGATATCAGGATATGTATATATTCCTAATATATACTAACGGAAGACATAAACATTTCATATATCATATATAATGTATATACTGTACAATGTTGCAAATTATCATTGAAGTTCAACCAGTCACCAACAAGCAAGAATTAAGAACGGTGTACACACATTCTCTCTCTCTCTCTATCTATCTATCTAGCTATATACTTACCCATCCATCTATCTATCTATTTATGTTTATCTATCTATCCATCTATATCTATTTGTGTCTATCTATCTATCCATCTATCTATCTATTTATGTGTCTATCTATCTATCCATCTATCTACTACTCTATCTACCTATTTTTATATATATACATACACACAGACACACACACAACAAAACAAAAAAAAAAAAAAATATATATATATATATAATATATATATATATATATATATATATATATATATATACACATACATACATAAATACACACACACACACACACACACGCCCGCGCGCGCACACTCATATATATATATATATATATATATATATATATTATATATATATATATATATATATATATATATATATATATATATATACATATACATATATATATACATATATATATATACACACACACACACACACACACACACACACACACACACACACACACACACAACACACACACACACACACACACACACACACACACACACACACCACACACAGATATATATATATATATATATATATATATATATATATATATATTTATATATATATATATATTTATATATATATATATATATATATATATATATATATACATATATATATATATATATATATATATATATATATATATATATATATATATATATATATATATATAATGTGTGTGTGTGTGTGTGTGTGTGTTGTGTGTGTGTGTGTGTGTGTGTGTGTGTGTGTGTGTGTGTGTGTGTGTGTGTGTGTGTGTGTAAATAGACATAAATGTGTGTGTATATATATATATATATATATATATATATATATATTATATATATATATATATATATATGCACACATAATATGTGTGTGTGTGAAGCCTTGGTCGTGAGCATCACTAACCCCCTGTGGCCTTGGGCGTCGACCGCTCTGATGGTCAGGAAATTCTCTTGGTCCAGTTCTAGCGAGACGTTGACCACGACCTTCGACCCGGCCTCGACGAGCACCTTAGTCTTGAAGTCTCGCTGGGTCACGCTGCTAAGGGTGACGGGGCGAGCGTGTTCGAAGTCCTTGGCGCGCCCCGTCCCATTGGGTAGCATTAGCAGCTCATAGTCGCTTACTGCAAAAAAAAAAATGCCGTGTCAGTGAATGTACGATGGACAGTGACAATAATCTAACATGTTTATATAGTGGCATTAGTACCCATATTATCTTGATCAGTTGATACTATGTAGCTTGCAGATGGTTTCTAATGATTTGATGGCTTAAAGTGAACTTCATGAATCTGATAAAATACAATCTACCGTGAGCCGTCGACATTTAAAGCTTTATCAATAGCCAAAAGTTTGGCAGTCTGAAACTCGTATTCCGTCGACCATAATCCCGCTCCCAGACATTCACCTGTCTGTATTGAGAGCAGTAACCGAGACAAATAGGAGCAGGACACAAAGTATTTAGATAATTCTGTGCACATGCTCTCTGTCCTATCGTGGACTATGCTTCTGTCGCCCTGACTGCTACTAAGCCAAGACTCAGAGAAAAATTAAAGACAGTCTAAAATGAAGCTGCCAGGGTTATTCTGGGTGTCCCCAGGTGAACAAAGATCCTCATCCTCGGCATGGAGGCAAACCTTCCCCTGGAATTCGGTTCTAGACTTAGCACAGTTCTTTTCCAAGGTCACCCAGGCAACCCAGAACAATATTACGAGCTCTTTGTATAAACTCGTGCCTGAGTATGGACTCCCCCACTTTGATTACGTTAAACCCCCGTTTGTGGGTACAGATCTTGATCAAGTTTTTAGTCATGAGTTGGTCAGTAGCAGGTAATAGAACCTACTTCACAGATAGATCAGGCTTTACAGCAAGGGATAACACAACATGAATGATGATATCAGACAATGCCTAATCGCCCCAGGCAGAGACTGTTGTAATCATGGGAGATCTAGCCTACACGTTCCAGTGGAAAGAACACGTAGTTATGCCAAATGACACCTAATTCCTGACCAAAGCACAGAGGATTCTTGCACGGGATAGAAAAATCATCAACTGGGTCCCGTCACATTGGAATCAGAGGGAATGAGCTTACTGATAGACTAGCTGAAATTGGCAGGAGTAGGCCCGCAAATCCCATGATCATTCAGCCAAGCAGAAACAATTACGGCATAGAGCCATAGCCACAGGGCAGGCCGCTGTCCTGCAAACGAGAACCCCATCGGACAGAGGGTACTCAGATGCTATATGCGAGCACACATGATACAGGGACCGCCTACCAAAATCACTTACACCGTGGAGGCTGGAGTGCCTGCTAGCAATCCGACCGCCTTTAATTTATAACTCCAAGTTAGAAATGGTGCGTTTCTGCGGGCATTCTGTCTCTAATGTTTGCGTCGTGTACTCAGAGTAATGCTTTGATCTGTTTTAATTGCATTTTTACTTTTGTTTGTTTAATACCTCAGTCAGTGGGCCAGGTCTGTATTCTAGAATTGGTCTGACAGTTGTTTTGTAGAGTGAGTTTTGTGTGAAGTGAAGGTTTGAAGCATGAGAACCGCCTTTGATTAGTGAGTGTGGTGTGTAGTGTGCGATTTTTTTGTTTGATGTGTGTCGTGAAGTGAAATTCAGGGATCTGCTTATGGGATGTTAGTGTTGCTGACTGTGGTGCATTGTGGGTTTCTGCGAGCTATGAGGATGAACCTGAAATTATTGATATTTATCTGCATTTTCCAATGGTGATCAAAGTTGTTGATGCTGTGTATGTCTTTCTGTTGTGCATTGCATAATGTGTTATGATTTAGGTGGGATGGCGTCTGCATAGGAAATATAATAAATGTGTGGTGTTGGTTCTGACAGAATGTCTATATACATAATAGAAAAGATTAGTTATAAAGCGCATCCTTGCGGTACTCCACTTCTAAGGTGGAGAGGGGTGCCAAGGTTGGCTCCTGGGCGTATTGTGGCAGCTCAGTCGTCCAAGAAGGCATGTGAGGTCTGTCGGGAGTTGTAGTTATTTTCGTTTATATGTGAGACCATAGGCCCGTACTTTTAAAACCTTCGCCAGTGCTGGCGTTCACCTGGCGAAGCTTCGCCAGGCGAACCTCTGAGTGAGGGAGGCCTTACTTTTAAACCCAACGTTCGCCAGGCGCTAACATCTTGCATTCCCGCTAAATCTAGCGCAAATTTGTTTACATCTGCAGTGCACATAACATAACCTAAACTTAATTATTAACCTCGAGAGAAGACGAAAATGTTGTTTCCGCAATAGTCTCACTTTATACTATAACAAAGGAGTTAAAATTTAACTTTATGCTATAACAAAGAAGTTGAAAATATCTTTATACTATAACAAAATTAACTTTATATATAACTTTATACTATAACAAGGTTAACTTTATGGCCCGTACTTTTAAAACCTTTTGCTTTTTCTCGCGTTTTTTTTCATTCGCCGAAGCGCTAGATTTATCAGGAATCCAAGATGTTAGCGCCTGGCGAATCCTTTCGTTCGCCAGGCCTAGCGAACACTGCCTTAGTTTAAAAGTAAGGCCTCCCTCACTCAGATGTTCGCCTGGCGAAGCTTCGCCAGGCGAACGCCAGCATTGGCGAAAGGTTTTAAAAGTACTTTATACTATACTATATCAACCTTATACTTTTATACAAAAATTAACTTTATACTTTAACAAGAGTTTAAAAATTACTATTTTACTATTCCTAACTGATATAAGATATTGAACTGTAGGCCTACAAGGGTATCATAAAGACGCCTCCTTATAGGGCGGTGGAGCACTACAGCTATGTTTCTATAGCCAAAAGTAAACATGCCGCCATAAAAAACACTTCTGGTAATATTTGTGAAAAGAACATTATCCTTACAACCAAAATAACAACCTAAATCTAAATAAGTCATCTCGGGGGTGGGGGGTAGGGGTAGGGGGGTAGGAATACAGCTGATGTCTTGAGCTCTCGACTGGAACATCGAAGGTCTTGAAAAAAAATACGTATATACGTTATTTCATAACAAATTATGATTTTAAGATATTTTATAATTTCAATGTGATTCCTACATCCTATCATACACATATATGTTACTAATTTATAATTTGAAAGCAAGAAAATGGTATTCAAACAGCTCTCTTCGCCAGGCTGTTCCAATATGATCTTTCGCCAGCCCTGGCGAACGTTCGCCAGGCATGATTTTTTCGCCACCCCTGGCGAAAGGTTTTAAAAGTACGGGCCATAATGCTAGACCGCGGAGAATGGTGTTGATCTGGCACTTGGCGAGACCGAGAGCGATCTCCTCGTAAGCGACAGCGCTAATCACCCTATCTGAGGGAGAAAGCCACTTTGTCCAGTGTTGTGTATTCTGCTGTTCTGTTGCAGCCTCACGCAATTGTCTGCTTCTTCCGTGAGCACCCTTGTTACACGGCGATAAGACCGCCGCCCAAGAGGATCAGTTCAGCGAACACACGTGGCTAGACGACCAGGGGATGCAAGACCTTTCTCGCGGAAGCACTGGCCACTATTTTGCAAGCGTGTGTCGAGAAAGGAAGGAGCAGACTGATGTGAGTGTGGTCCTGGTTAGCAAGAAGAACGCGGGCGAATCATGAGTTTTAACTGCTTTCGAATCCTGGTTAGCAGAAGAACCGCC